AACAGTTCACTTCCTGAGATATATACTTATAGTACATCTTTACATTGTACATGAACAGTTCACTTCCTGAGATATATACTTATAGTACATCTTTACATTGTACATGAACAGTTCACTTCCTGAGATATATATACTTATAGTACATCTTTATATTGTACATGAACAGTTCACTTCCTGAGATATATATACTTATAGTACATCTTTATATTGTACATGAACAGTTCACTACCTACAGATTAAACTTACAATATGTTTCTAACCTTCATAAATGATCTACCATAAATTACTTCAATTTTTCAACAGTGCAAATGAAACTGACCTGCTTCAAACTGATCAGTAAGAACTACAGCAATGGTCAGACACATCACTTTATTATTGACTTCCAAGATTTATTCCTGACAAATACAAATGTATAACAGCTGGTCACAAAAAAAATATCAGAATTGCCACCAGTACAAGAATGATGATGATGGAATCAGTGAAGAGAAGGAGTAATGAGAAGGATGTACATGATTAACATTGATGACAAGCTAAAATTTGAAAAACATATCCAATTAAAAGTGAATAAAGCTAACAGTATAATGGGAGTAATAAGATGAACCTATACTTATTTGGATGGACAAAATTTCAAATTAATCTTTAATAAGGCTCGGGTCAGACCTCACCAAGAATAAGCAGCAAGTGTTTAGTCATCTTAGAAAAAGAAGTATATTAACATAATTGAAAATGTACAAAAAAATGAGGAACCCAATTATTACTAACATTTAAAGGCTAAACAGAAAGATTAGATATACCAACATTATGCTTTTAAAGTTTTAAAAAAGAAATGTGTTTAAAACATATCTATGGAGTTTATTTTTTACAGAGCACTGCTTAAAAATAAGTAAAAATTAATAAACACATGGAAATAAATCCAAATTGTTTAAAGAGAGAAGCAACTTTAGTATAAGGAATTTAATTTTTGTAAACTTATGAAATATCTTACTAATTCATGTAACTGATGCAAAATCAATCCCTTCTTTTGAAAAATACTTTGATAAATAATGGACAAAAGAAAATCACGTTTGACTATAAGGAAGTGTCAGTTAGGAGTGACGGCAAGGTTATTGTGTCTTGTGAGGAAGATGAAGAATCAATTGAATATTAAAGAGTCAGAAATGCCTGCTTACAGAGAAGAGCTTAAGTAAATACACTACATAAAATGTATTAAGTAACTTACTTATCACTGTGAATTTTCTTCAGTCATGCTAAACTAAGTGGATTCTTATCTATAGTAAATATGTGATCCAAACTATGGTAACACAAAATGCATTACTTTGCACTTACTATAACTGAAGATCATTTGTCAAATATCTGACCTACTTAACAATCGATCTAAGTCATTCTGTCGCCAGTAAAGCTTTACTAATTATGTCCTTATCAATATCATTAAAGTAAGTATGAAAAAGCAAAAGCACTGACCCCTGAGACATACCACTTGTAACAAAGGTCCAGTTTTACTGGATGCCAATAATAAAAACTTTTTATTTTCTCTCACACAGTCATCTTACAACCTAATTAGTTAACTAGTCTTTTCCTGTCCCTTGCTGATGTGATTTTCTTAGACTATTTTCTCTGTGGCATCTTATCAAAAGCCTTTTAAAATTTAAGTACACCATGTTCTCACCCTTTCCATCATCCAGATAACAAAACACTTGAAATGTTTTTGCATGGTTTCTTTTATCAGAATAAAGATTGAAAGTAGATTATTTCCAATACAGAGGTAGGATTTAAACCAGCTTATAATTTGGAAACTTCTTTATTCATTAATTGAACCAAAGAACGGTTTAATTTAACATCATGCAATTATATGTTGAAGTCCTACCTAGTATGAAATGTGTTTCATTGTCAGTATTTCCCATACCATGCATTTTTGATCAGTCAAGAAATGTAATTTCAAACTATGTCAGCTCTCACCATTCCAATTAGATAATAGAAAAAAATGTTCCAATCCTAAATCTTAAATATTACTTTTAGTTTTAATGCTATAGTATTTCACCTTATTCTTTTTTTCCATTTTGTTTCCTCAAATCTAAACAGTAAACTCCCTTTATTTTACAAATTTTATAAGTGGATTTCATATTATATACAATATATATATATATATATAACATGGACATTATTTTACAAACCTTATAAAATAAAGGACGTTGTGATTTGTAGAAATAAAATGGAAAAAAAAAAGGGGAATACGGTGAAAGATAATATTTAAAATTATATATATAAATTATATATATATATATATATATATGTGTGTGTGTGTGTGTGTGTGTGTGTCTATAAACTAGTCGTTTTGCATTTACTTTGCGTTTCATTCCTTTACCCTCTTCTGGAAAAGATTTCGGTTAGAACGTAAACATTTATTTAGTAAAGCACAACAATATTTTCTATCAGCTACTTGAATAGAATATGAAACTTGGAAGTTGAACGAAATAAAAATATTCCAATGTGACCCACGCTCCATAATAATAATATAAATTATAATGATATAATTGTAATATTTTTCCAATTCAAATTAGCCACAGTTTTCTAAATGTATATATTTTTATACTATATATTTTGTCAAACTAAGCAAATTATTAACCTTAAGATATTCACTGCGAAAAAATATTTAAAAAATTACACGAAGGAATGTCTTCATCACAAATTATCCAACTAGTATTTACAACTTACAAGAATACCCGCCATTTTGATAGCCAGGCTAACTACTGACCTCTTTCGGGAGGAAAGCTTGTCAATTGTTCCTCATCCCGGCTAACTTGAGTAATAATGGACGTACTGTCCATTAGTCTTATCAGTCTCCGTAATTGCTCACTTCGAACAGTTCGTAAATATCAAAATGCTTTCAAAATTAAATCTAAATCACAGGAATTAAAACAGCAACAAACTCCTTCCATCGTACATACGTTTATACTTTTTGAGCGCATGCGTTATTGACTGTCAAACTTGAATTTATAAATTTGATATTATAAAGCGACATCTAGAAGAGACAAAACTAAGCATGTTTTTAATCTGGGTCTGGAAGTTTACCAACTCCAGTGGCACAATGGTAAGTCTGTGGACTTATAATGCTAGAAACAAGGATTCGATACCCATGGTTGGCAAAAATAGCCCATTGTATAATTTTCTGCTTACTACAAATGAATCAAATTTACTTTGGTTATAATTTCAGTTTAAAACATAAGTAAAGGCAATTTGTATTATAAAAATACGATTCCTTAATATTCATAAAAAATATAATAAACCAACTAGAAAAATGTGTAGATTTCTGAATCATCAAACCATAACCTATTTCCAGTTTCATAGATAGGAAAGATAACCCACAGAAACAGAATTGTCGAATTTCTGCATAAAGCTGCTCGAGGGCTATCTGAGGTACCCATTTCTAGTTGAAGCTATAGACTACAGCAGGGGTCACTAAACTACGGACCCTCAGGCCGCATCCGGCCCGCGAGGTCAGTTCATCCGGCCCGCCCTTGCACTGTGCCACAAATGAGCTAAAATATAATTATTTATATGGA